TTGGCTACATCTAAAGTGCAGGAGATTGCAATGAGCAGTATTAATGTGACAATGTCCAGAGCTAATTTTCATATATAGAGGCACATTTTATATTATTATATATAACTGTTCTGACACTATTTCATAAAAAAAATATGTATATAACAGATCTCTATTATTTATATTTTTATCGAATCATGGCACGCATTTTTATATATACATAATATGTGGATTGATTTAGGGTTGGGTTGAGTCGGGTTGGGTTGGGTCAAGCCAAGTAAGAATATATATCTATATAAAATATATGATTGGATTTGGTGTTGGGTTAGGTCTTGAGGGTGAAGAGATGTTTTGATATGAAACATGTATATAAACTTTTCTATACATATTTCATACAATAATGGGTTTCATTTTATGACCTGACCGAATCAAACCCAACCCGAAATTCAATTATATAGTTTATATATACATATAGATATATATTCATACTTGACCCAACCCGACCCAATCCTAACTTAGGCTTCAACTTCATTTCTATATTATTTTTTTAATTAGACGAACTGTCTATGATTATCCTTTAAAAGCATTTGATTAAATTTCCATGAAATTTCTTCTATAGTCACTTTATTTGAATTTCCTGGAAAGCGGAATTTACCATCGCATGGTGGGTGTGGATGTGGATGCCGGTGTGGGTGTGGGTGTGGATGTGGGTATGGGTGACGGTGTGAGTGTCGGTGTGAGTCTGGGTCTGGGTGTGGGTCTTCCCTTTATTATTTATACCCACATCCACCCACACCCACACCCACACCCGCATCCACACCCACATCCCACACCCACATCCCACACCCACACCCCACACCCCACACCCACACATCCACACCCACACACCCACCCCATATTCCCTTCGAGAGTGGAGCACGTTTTGAGACGTTGTGGATTGATATCCTATGGCTTGTGGGTGTAGCGTCTTAATAGGCGTGAAGTAGGTTTCGCGGTCTGGTTGGTGCGCGGGTTCACCTATGCATGAAACAGCGGCGCGTGATCCGGTTATTATTTTGGTTCTTTTAAATATATCGGTGAGTTAGGTGGATGCGACTTGTGTGGGGTTATTTGCGTCTATAAATACAATGATTTTCTGTTGTTATGGAGTTTATGACGTCATTATGTTTTTCAGTGTTTTAAGCATTGTTTCAACTTCTTCTGGAAGCTATTGCAAAATTTGTGTAGTAGTTTACGTTTAGTCCACGGTGCTCTCGATTGTTTTTCAGTACCGATTACCATATACACTTCTGGCCTGCTTTTTTTCTGGTAGTTGTTTTTCAATGTATGGTGAAGTTTTTCATAGTTCAAAGTTGAAACTTGAAAACTCAATTTTGTTCAAGTTTCAAGTTTGATATATGTGGTATTTATCGTAGACAATCACTTAAGATTTAATCAAATCATTTTTACGAAATATTCTCAATGTTGATCAGATCAAAGTTAAAATTTGTTCTCCTTAATAAGCCCCAAAAAATCGAACTATTCTTCAGATATACCATAAATCTCGCTATGATATAGATACAAACAAAATTAATCTTTTTGTGAAAAACATAGAAATTTTGTCAACTACAGCATGGAAGTGACAATGCACATGTTCGGTTAATGATATGGAAGTTCTTTCTGTACATTATTCTATATATCTAATCATTAAATAAATGTCAGTCATGTCTGAATAGATTTATTTGCGATGTTCATTTAGACGCGACTCAAACAATAAATTCATATAGCTGTTTTATAAGAACATATATTTTAGTATTTATTGCGAAACTATTCGATTGAAGAACATATCTAAATGCATTTTATATAATGTAACAAATGACTCGTTCAATTCATAATTAATAACTCAGATATGTCAAAATGGGAAGAGTACACTTGATTAGTTTTTTCTGGTTTCAACACGTTTTCTAGAAACGGTTTTGCATCTTGTACAAATTTTATTCGATACTACTTTATTTTTAATAGTTATCATCATAAGCAAACAAAGTTATGTATTTGTAAAAATACTACTTAGTTTTTTCCAGTTTAGAATAAATTGAATCGGTATTGTATGAATTTTGCTTTTAATTACAAAGCTTGATAATTATCAACAATGAACATAAGCGTAAGAAATTGTTTCGTTTTTGTATGTTCGTCACCGAAAGTTTTTTGAACGATTCTGTGAGCTTCTGAATAGTATTTTTTCGCTTCATCCAATTTGACTTGCTTTTCCGTAGATTCTTGATTGTCTTGTTGATTCTTCGATTTATTATCCATTTCGGCTACTATTTTCATGCAAATATCACCCAAATTGGCATAGACATCACATATGTCTATATGATCGCTGCCTAATGTAGCCAATAAAATCTGTAGACCTTGTTTGTGATGTACATAAGCCGTATCGTAATCATTCATCATTGCATAAACAAGACCAAGAGAATTAAGAAAAATTCCGCATTTATAATGTTGGTCATTAAACTCTTTTTTGATGATGGCAAGTGCTCGATTAATACAAACAATGGCTTGTTTATAATTGCCTAACAAGGAAAAAATAGAATAAAGTACAAGTGTCAAATATGTCTCTGTTTTATTTTTTTCTAACTAACCGAGTTGATGTTGAACTTGTCCAATATTGTGAAGAATTTCAGCTGCTTCTGAATGTTCGGGACCAAGCGTTTTTTCAATTATTTTCAAAGCTCGTTGATAGACATGTAGAGCATAATCGTAGTTATTTCTTTTACGATGACTATCTGCTAGATTATTGTAATAGATACCCAATTTATAATGTTCTTGATTAGGACCGAATGTATCTCGGACAATTCTCATTGCTCTTTCAAAGAGTTCTTCTGCTCCATCGTAATCGGCTTTCTTCATTAATACGAGACCCATTGAATTGAGCACTTCAGCTACTTCAATATGCTTTGGTCCTAATGATTCTTGCAATGCTGCTAATGCTTCCTTATATGTGACTTCAGCTGTTTTGTAATCACCTCGCTAATAAAACAAATCATTGCAAAGATAGAGTTTTTATTCACACAGACGAGTCTCCGTTCGATTAAACAAGTAAATTTTCTACAGATACTATAAAGCGTTTCAATCGATTGCTTATGTCTAATGCGAATCAACGAAACCATTCAAAAAACAATTAAAATGGACGACATAACTTCGAGATTTCAATGCTACAATCTAGTTTCGATTAATTGAGAAATAGCATCTTCTAATAAATCCCAGTTGACTTTGAATGATCTTCGAGTCAGAGCAATACAAAATGAGGTAGTCAAGGAAAATCATGATAAATTTTTCTCTACAAGTATCAATTGCATTGTCTGCATGTAGCACTTATGAGAGAATATACGCAAATATTCAACGTTGACCGATCTCCTACTCAGTCCGTAAGTGACATGTGATGAGACAAGGCAAATCTGAAATGATCTATTCGCATACCCTAGCTGATCAAGATTATGCCTGCTTATTGAAACATCTCAGAATCAATAGATTATTTTTAAAAACATAACTAAAACAAATGTTCTCTTATCAAGTTATACAAACTTCAGCAGACGTTTTTAATTCAATTTCCTATAAATATCTGATCAATTATCTCATCTAATTCTATCTATGGGTCAAAATATAAAGTCAATCGGCATTTTCCTCGTAAGTAGAAATTAAATTTAATTCTTTCATGCGATGATAGAAAAAGAAAGAATATCCGTACTGATATTAAATAATTGACTGTAGTTCCAACGTTTAGAATCAATTTAATATTCGTTATCCTACAATATAATATTCTAGATAAATCGGTACCAAATTTTTAAATTAATTGAATTTAAAAAATGTTAGAATTGACGAAGGTATTTGTCTCTCTTAGATAAACATGCTCATATCCAACTTGCTAACAACTCTTGCTTATACTGGGTGCATCTCGTATCTCCTGTTAAAATCAATTTTTTTTTCGATTTACCACGATTGAAAATCATCAGGGCAGAATGTGAACATCTACCTATAGAAAAATTACACAGAATAATATCTTCCAAAACCCATTCAATGAATCAATTGATTTGAAATAAATACCACAATGAGTCTTTCAATTAATTCTTGATCATGGATATTTTTAATCTAACAAAAACGAAAAATCATTTTACTCTTTTGATAAATTTTCTCTCTGA